CCCCAAAACCCCAAAACCCCAAAACCCCAAAACCCCAAGTTTCCACAAACTTATTGAGACCATGAAGATGGATAGAATCCCAAATTTGGAAATTTGGTGCTTCATGGGTAATTTTTGGGATAGGTGATTGTAAGGATCCTATCCCTTGAAGTAAATTTGGGCATGCTTAAGGTATAAAAAATACTTTGTGTCAATTAAACTATCTCTTTTTATTCAGATTACCATACTTTTTGTAGTTATCATCGATCATTTGTGTCAGCTCCTTCAACTTGGGATCTTCAAAATCTGAATGAAGCTCAACTTCAGGTGGGGAAACGTTTGGTAGATTTTTCTGATACAGTTCTCCAAACCCAACACTTTTTAAAGTATTCTCTGGGCTAGCCATGCGTTTGATATCAGCTTTGGTGATTTCGGAAGGTGGTTCCTGCTCCTCGTCCGAATCATCTGCATCAAAGATTTCATCTAGATCTTCTGCTGCTTCTTCTTCTTTAAGGATGGTCTCTCCAGTTGTCATTTGGAGGTTGATTCCTGAATCTTTGAAATGTTTTTCAAGCTTCTTTTTCTCATAACAATCTGTGACACTTTTGATAATTTCTTGGACAGCTTCTTTGTCTGTCGCTTCAGAGTCTTCCTGGAATATCTGCATGGCTTTAAAAAAGTCCACTGCTCGCTTAATCTGCATCGTGGTGAAATCAGTGTAGTTTTCCTGAATGAATTTCAAGCAGAATCTGAGAAATAGCTGGCAGCTCTGAGAGCTCATGTCTGGATGGAGCTCTGAGAGGGCTTTGAAGATCTTTCATGCTTTTGAATTACCTATTTTGCTAAATTCGTCCTCATCATAGCCTTTTTCGATGTAAGCATTGATCATTTCGTCATATAATTCAGGAGCGTTTATTCTGAGGCCGTAGAAAATAATGACGAAATCAAAGAACTGGTCATGAGTGAAATCTTCAGTGCCTAACTGCTGGATAAAGTCTTCTATTAAAGAGTTTATGAGACTGTCAATGGGAAGGTCTCTGTGGAAAAAGTTAGATAAAGTCACTTGTAGCTCATCGAATGTGAATAGAACTCTTTCTTCTCGTAAATGCTTGTTGACTAACTTGATAATGTTTTCCCATCATTCCAGCCCGACATAGCCTGAACGCCCCAGCTTGAAGACTGTGTTCAGAATTCAGCGCAGGGATTGTTTAGGATAAGTATCAACATCTATTTGGGCAATGCGAGAGGCGACTTTTTGACAAAACTTGTGCTTGAATATTTGATCTCTTCCTTCCATAGCGATTTGAAATGCATAGCCAAGATCAAGGACTGTAGCTTGATTGAAGTTCTTAGCTACTTGATTGACCGCTAAGATGTTCATCTCCCTCTCTTCCCTAAGCATAGCCTCATTATCACCTGCATTTTTGAAGATTTCTTGGTTGAAGAAGAACAGAGTTGTCAGGATTTTAGGATTTGCTGTATGGTTCTCTAAAAAGTGCCTGAGTTTTGAGTAGAAGAAGTCGAACCCTGCGAGACTAGCTACATGGTTTCTATATGATCATTTCAAAGGACTTACTCAAGCGAGTAATATGTCACATAAATCAGAAGTTCATAAAGATCTTCCTCTATAGACTCTTCTACAGACTGGAAGGCTCTTAGTCTGGCTTCTAGAGCTTCAGAGGTAAGTTCTAAGTCTTTGGTAATGAATTCCTCTATTGAGCTAATGAATGGAGTCATCTCTGCTTCATATTTCTTCATCTCTTCAGCTTCGGCTTCCTCGTTTATCGTGTTGTCAAAGGAATATTGGGTTGAGAATGCTCTAGTTGGGATCCCACTGCTTACATAGCCTGTGAAGAGGCTCTGGCACCTGATGGCCCTAACATGGGCCATCGCCCGAGTGAGCCTAGCTCACAAGGGCCGACTCGTAGTTAGGAAGTTCCTAAAAACAGCTTTTGATAACATATTATTTCAGCCGTAAATTAATATTCCGGGGTTTTGGGGTTTTGGGGTTTTGGGGTTTTGGGGTTTTGGGG